CGCAAATTATCACCAGATTGAGAATCCGGTCAGTAGGTGAAGGAAGAAGAAGAAGAAAGGGATTTGAAATGACAGATTAGTCCCATGATTAAATAATTAAAACTAGTATATGATGGAATTAATTGACCCGGGGTAGACCCGAATCAATGAATCCGGATAAGAATGTGTATGGAATAAATAATATAACGCAGAGATGTCATAAGCTCGCAGGGACCGTATATTGTATTAGTTATCGCTAATGAGCTATTACAAGACTTGATTAGGACAATAATGCTAGAAGATAGTAGTTCAAGAATATGTTGTGTCCCTGTTTAGGACAATATGGAGGCTTTTTATATCAGCTCAAACCCCCAACCGCACCCCTAGGACCGGGGGTGGTTAGATTGGCCCGCTTTGACCGCGTCCCCTCCGGGACAGGGTCCAAGGCGGGCCAACTCGGCATGGCCGAGTGGACACGTGCCGAGCTCGGCCTAGCAGAGTCCACCATGGACCGGCTCGGTAGTGGCCGAGTCCATGGTGGCGAGCTCGGGTGTACCGAGCTCGTCCGTGGCCGGGCTCGGCCCAAGGCCGAGATGCTTTGGGCTGAGGCGTCTCGGGTCCGTCTCTCCGGGTCGGTTCGTTCCGGGTCCAATATATCCATCAGTTTACATTTTTCTAGCGACATTTGGCTGGTGATTTGGCCGTGTGAACCAAATGTGTTAAAAATTGCATAGTTACCAGACTAAATTGTTAGTTTTTAATGTTAAGTATTGAAATTAACAAGACCCCAATAGTTATAGGACCAAAAGTGTAATTTTTTCTATTTATTTATTTTTATTTTTATTAAATAATTAATTAATTATTTATTTTGTTTGCAATACATATTTACTACCAAACAAATTGACTAATTTTACTTAAACTCATTACTATTAACAAGTATTTGATTCCCATTACTATTATGATTTCAACGTTTGAACCAAACACTCCCTGGCCTTAATATTATTGGCCAGGTAAGGTTTAGCTTTATCCCAAACTTACCCTTTTTTTTTTGCGGCAATTTATATCGTGCACCAGGACGTGCATTGCATTGTGCGCCCTGATGCAAAACGACTTCGTTTTAGATTTTTTTTTTTTTTTTTTTTGATATTTCGCTACCCTATGTTGGCGGTTAATTTTCTTTTTAAAAAAAAATCTCATGTTCAATAATGTACATCATTTTATACTAGAATACACATACATAATTGTATACATGAATGTACATAATTGTATAACAAAATACACGAGTTAATACCCAAAATCGTCCTCGACTATAGTGGTTTTTCTCAATTTCGTCCTAAACGACTTTGGTGACCTAATATCGTCCCAGACTTTTGTGTTTCGCTCAATTTAGTCCCAGACTTTTGTGTTTTTGCTCAATTTAGTCCCTCATTTGTTATTCTGTCCATTTGGTGTTAAATAAATAGACAATTCAGTAATTTTAATATTGGCATCTCTTTACTTTCACAATCTTTTTTTAAAAAAGATAATAAACATAATCTAACATAATACATAATATACATAAACTTTTAACATAATACACATAAACTCTTAACATAATACACATAAATTTCCTGTTTCGGATGTACATAATTGTATAAAAAAAATGTACATAATTGTATAAAAAATGTACATAATTGTATAAACAAATACACAAAATTGTATAAACAAATATACATAATCACGTCAACTCCCTACATAATTTACCAAAACGACATCGTTTTGGGAGGCGCGAGACGCACAGTGCTATGTGCGCCGTGGTGCAGGGTATAATGATTTTTTTTTTTTGCACTGTTAGGATTCAAATCATGCATATATCATTCAATTGTAAGCAATGTTGCAAAAAACATTAGGCGCCTTTTTTAAATTTTTTTAATTAAAAATTAAAAATTTTCAAAATTTAGTAATAAAACATAAGGTTTTCATAGTTATTTCTTAGAAACTATTTACGAAAGTGGTTGTAAAATTGTTCAAAAGATTGTTTAAACCATCTAAATACATAAAAGAACTAAAATTAAGAGTTAAAGAAGCATTTTTTTGAGAAATTTGTCCAAATCGGACAACCGAGTCAAAAGTTATGCCTTCCGGAACTTTTTCCACATTTTCAACAAAAAAAAAAAAAAAAAAAAAAATCCACGAACCGCCTAGCCAGCCGGCCGCGGAGGAGGCCGCCGAGGCCATTCCTCGCGGCGGCCTCCCACCGCCTAGCGCCTAGGCGCGATTTTTGCAACACTGATTGTAAGCAAAGTAAAATTTAGAATTATGCAAAAAGATGTTAATTGTAACCCAAAATCGACATGTTAGCCCAATAAGACTAAAAAAGCAATTTATATCGTGGACAAGGATCTATTGGGTCATCCAATGATATTTAAGTTTATATTTATATTTATATTTATTAGGAGAAATGTTTAAAATAGCAACTGAACTACATATAAAAGTTTTTTTTTTTAAAAGAACTACATATAAAAGTGTAATTGGACCATTCAACTAAAAAATGTGTAATTAGATCCCTGAATTGTCTAAAATTGTGCAATTCGACTAAATTTGACATGTTCCTTAGGATCCAGTAATGACTATGCAACTAAGGATGAAGGAACCTAATTGCACTTTTTGACAGTTCAAGAATCTAATTGCATTTTTTAGTTGGATGATCTAATTGCACTTTTGTATGTAGCTCAGTGACTAATTTAAACATTTTTTCATATTTATTAATGTATATGTGGTAGCTTGTTAAAATTAAAAGTTTAAAATGTTAATTTTAAAATGTAAAAATTTTAGTTGGCCTTACTCAATAGCATGATGTTTCAAGGTTAAAATAAAAGAATTTAACTCGATAAAAAATAAGCTTGAATCAAAACTAGCAAGCTAAGGTTAACTCAATTTATTATTGGTTGTTGAATAAGTCGATGCACAAAATTATATAAATAAATAAATAAATAAATAAATAAATAAATAAATATATATATATATATATATATATATATATATATATATATATATATAGGGGTTTAATTGTTAGAAAATAAACCCAACGAAAGAAAAGAGAAAATTAGAGTCGTGTGTACCTGCTAGGAGCGATTTAAAAGTTAATTTAATAACACAACCTTGGTTGAACAATTTGTTGGTGAAATTTGTTTGAAGACATAGACTAAGTCCGAATAAATAAATAAAAATATAATGGGATTTAAATTTTCAAAATAATGACAAAGGCTACAGTACAAAGCATTCCCAACTTAGATGACTATATTTTGAAAATTAATTTCTTATTTATAATTTTTTTTTTGTGTATAATATATCAAATTAAATCTTTCACTTAAAAAAAAAATGAATTCACTTTGAACGGACACAAATCAGAAGTGAACTCCACTGATAATTATACAACAAAATGGCCACTTTGAATACCAATTTAGCTAATTTTTCAACAATTCACCACATGAATGAAATTGATTTTTTGGGACTGAAAAAAGACACAATAGTATTCAACGGGCAATTCTTGCATAGGATAGGTAGATATTACCTTTTGAACATTCCCTTGTAGAGATATATTAACTTTACTAGTTGTCCTGTAGAACACGATGCCTTTGAAGCAAACATTGAAGACTTGATAATTCAATTTAATCTCCATTAGCTAAATATAATCACTTCCAATTTCCTTTTATTGCAATTTTACTTTTGTGATTGTTCACTGTGATCTATTATCTTGTGCTTGTTATGGATTATTTGTTTGACATTGAATCTATTTCTATTTGTATTATGATTATGTGTGATTAGTTTTCCTTGGATAGATGGAGATAGGAATGTAGATTAGGTTCATAGAGATGTGACTTTGAATTGGTTGATTATGAGTGATGAGACTTGACTTTGATGATGTTAATCACCATGACCTTTGAGAGAAGAGATAGATTTGGAGTAACCTTACTTCACCTTTGAGAAAAGGGAAGTTTGGGATGTCAAGACCAATGTGTTTGATGAAATGCCTCTTAGACGTACACTCATGAGTCATGAGAATGCCTTTGCGTATTCTAAGAGTGTGCAATGACCTTGAGAAAGGCTTCCTCCTGGTTAAATGTCATCCATCATCAAGTCAATTGAATCTCACTCTTGATCCCGGTTGGTTACACTTCCTAGACTTAATCCAAGTTCCTATTCCCCCTCATCTTTCCTATTACTGTTAGTCATTTCATTTGCTACTTGTTTTGTTACTTGTTATCATCAATCTTTGTTTGGACTAGATTTCCTTAAGAAGATTTAATATATACCTTGTGCTTGCGAGACAATAGCTTGACTCTTATTGTCAATCCTTTGAGAACATATCCGGTGTGAGGATATCCTCTCACACAAATCTCACCACACAAAAATACTCTTCCATCAAATGGCGTTGTTGCCGAGGATTGGTAGCAGTGTTTGAGTTTTTGTGATTTTATCAACATAGGGAAAATTTCTTCTAGGAGAGCTTACCCATTTTTTTTTTATGTTTAGTTTTAATTTTGCGCTTGTTAAACTTTATTGTCTAATTTGGTTTCTTTCTTGTTATGCATGCAGTGTAAGAGCAAATGGAATTAAGAGCTTGGTTTCACTTGTGTACTACGTACCAAGGAGGACAAGAAAGAATGTCAAAGATACATCATCCCAATCCATAGACACTAGTATTAGACAACACAAAGTGATATCAAGAAGGGCTCAACCGTCTTTGTCCATCCCTATCAGTTGCAACGTCCTTTGGCGCCTTTCTTTAGTTGCTGTATATTAGTTCTTCTGAACAAACTTGAGCAGTTAGTCTGTTCATTCCTTCATCTTCTGTAATCTGCTTTCCACCCTTCAATGCAAAGTTTTGTTTTCATCGCATAAGCTCAACTTTCATCATGGTATCAGAGCCATGGAAGATCAGTTACGCAGCTGCTGTTTCCGGCACCGGTGAGACCGGCCAGCCGTCTCGCACACCGGTGATGAATTAGCCTCCGATTCAAGCTACGCCGCAAACTTCCATGCCTCAAGTCGTTCCGCAGAGGAACGCAGCTGAAGATATAGAGAATCCCCTGCATCTCAGCACTAACGAAAATCCAAACAACATATTGGTGAGTCCTCCTCTCACAGGAAGTTCCAATTATGGCTCGTGGAGCATTTCAATGCAGGTTACGTTGGAAGTGAAAAACAAATGGTCTCTTGTCGATGGAAGCATCGAGAAACCGGATAGAAGCCAGGGACACTACGCGTCTTGGAGAAGATGCAATCTCATGATCAAGTCATGGATTCTCAAGGCGGTGCATCCGTCGATTGCTCAAAGCATAATATATATGGATGACGCAGAGGAAGTCTGCAACGATTTGAAGAGGAGATTCTCGCAGCGCGATCCTCATCGCATATCGACTTTGCAGTGCGAAATCTATGGATTGAGACAAGGAAACTTGTCGATCAATGACTATTACACAAAGTGCAGATCTCTTTGGGAGGAGATGAACGAGATGAGACCTCTCCCAATCTGCAAATGCAATCCTCATTGCTCATGCTCAGGTGCTCTAATCAATGAAGTTCGAAAGGATCGTGAAATAGATCAAATAACCCGTTTCTTGCATAAACGATGACTATAATCCTTTGAAGTCCAGCGTCTTGGTTCTGGATCCTCTGCCCGAGATTCACAAAGTGTATGTGATGGCGGAGAAGTTTGAAAGGCAACTCAACATTAACAGTCTGAACCTGGATACCAGCCATGCCAACTCCATTCAAAGCAGTCAAAACGCACCAGAAGAAGTTGTTGTAGCAGTGAATCAATATTATGGCAAAAGAAACATGAATGCCGGTGGAAACAAGAGTGCAAAGTGCACGTATTGTGGTATGACGGGGCACACCGTCGAGAAGTGTTACAAAAAGCACGGCTACCCACCGGGATGGGTGCCGGGCTATAAATCGAAGGGAAAGCAATCTGCCATGGCCGCTCCCACTGCCTGTTCCAACCAGGATACTGCCTGCTCTAACTTTGAGAGCAACAATGCTTCTGAGCAAATGCAAAAGCTGATCTCCCTTTTACAAATGCAGATGGGACACAACCAACCACCAATGAGTGCAGCTGTATCATTGGTCCCAAAATTTGACAAACCGGAGACACAAAATGCAGGCAAGTCCTATACTGTTTCTTATGCTGTCAATTTTGTTAATCTTGATTCAACTACTTGGATCCTAGATTCGGGAGCAACCGATCATATAGTTTGCTCTCGAGAATTCTTTGATGTTTGTCATGTTGTTGAAGGAGCAAGGGTAAATCTACCCAATGGAGAAACAATCATAGTACAACATATGGGAGATATCAAACTGGGAAAGGAGCTATGGCTACGAAATGCTTTGCACATCCCGCAGTTTAAGTTCAATATAGTCTCAGTGAGCAAGCTCATCAAAGATTCCTCTCACACTTTAGTATTTGATTCTGGACAGTGCCTGATTCGGAGCCATGAGAGAACAACTGGTTTTGCTAAAGAGGAAAGAGGCCTGTATCTGCTGCTTCAACCACCAAAAACCAGCTTACATAGCAACTCTATTGTGCAATGTAACAGTGCTACCATTGAGTTGTGGCACAAACGTTTAGGGCATTTTCCCTTTAATAAAATTCACCTCCTTTGTGATGTTCCCAATTCTCAGTCAAAAATGGATCCTTGTGATGTATGCCACTATGCTAAACAAAAACGCCTCCCATTTTCCTTGAGCAGCACATCATCAAAAGCTAGCTTTGATCTAATTCATGTTGATATTTGGGGGCCTTTTCCGGTGAAGTCTATGGGAGGGGAGAGGTATTTCTTAACTATAGTAGATGACTACTCAAGATACACTTGGATTCATCTCATGAGAAACAAGTCTGAAACCCGAGAAAAGTTGAAAAATTTTCACAAGCAGATACATACTCACCATGGCCTAGCTATTAAAACTCTGCGCAGTGACAATGGCATGGAGTTCAACATGGTAGATTTCTTTGCTGAACATGGCATCATTCATCAAAATTCATGCGTCCATACACCCCAACAAAACGCGGTGGTCGAACGAAAACATCAACATATCATGAGTGTGGCAAGAGCCCTTCGATTTGAAGCCAAATTGCCACTGGATTTCTGGGGATTATGTGTAATGTATGCCGCATTCATCATCAATCGGCTTCCTTCTTCGGTGACTGAGTGGATTAGTCCCTATCAAAAACTCTATGGAGAGAAGCCTACTCTTGAGAACATCAAGACATTCGGATGCCTTGCTACGCAGCCACACTGCCTAATTCGAGACACAAGATGGCTCAACGCAGCAGACGTTGTGTCTTTGTTGGTATACCTGCACATGTCAAAGGTTATTTGGTGCATGACGTGCAGGACAACTCAACGTTTATATCAAGGGACGTTATCTTCTACGAAGACTACTTTCCCTTAGCCGAGCAGAGTAAGATGGCAGAAAGCAAGCAAGTATTCAAGCCATCTTTGCCAAATGTGTCCATTAATGACACTGCAGAGCTTATGCTCCCAAATCGTCATGTTAATCATGAACTCCCTCTTGGGCTCAACCTAAGCACTCCTGACAGCAGCAACTTGAGTCCATCACACAATGCAGGAAGCAACACGAATGTGGACAGCAGTCCTTATGGCAGCCCCCCAAACATCTGCAATGAGCCATCACTACATGAAGCCAATGATGAAGCTAGTGAGGCAGCAGAACAAATAGTGTCTCCCGATCCCTCAGATCAACCAAGGAGATCCAGTAGACCACGAAACTTTCCAACAAAATTGCATGACTACTATTGTGATGCTACAGTGGCTACCAAGACATCACCCCACTCCATGTCCAAGGTAATATCCTATGCTAATCTCTCATCTTCGCATAAGATATTCTCCATGGACGTCTCATCTGTTAAAGAGCCAAGAACTTATGGTCAAGCAGTCCTTCATGACTGCTGGAAAAAGGCCATGAATGAGGAAATCATAGCCCTCCAAAACAACAATACATGGGAGTTGACAGATTTGCCACAAGGGAAGACACCGATTGGATGTAAATGGATTTTCAAGACTAAGCTTAATGCGGATGGCACAATAGAGAGGCACAAAGCCAGATTAGTAGCGAAAGGCTACACCAAACAATTTGGTGTGGACTACATCGAGGCGTTTTCACCAGTGGCCAGGTTGACCACAATCCGCACCTTCATAGCAGTGGCAGTATCTAAGGCCTGGAATATACATCAAATGGACGTTAATAACGCATTCCTACATGGGGATCTTAATGAAGAAGTATACATGGTTCTACCACCCGGATTTCAAAGCGAAAAGCCAAATCAAGTTTGCAGGTTATTAAGATCTTTATACGGTCTTAAGCAAGCTAGCCGCCAATGGAATGAGAAGCTCACTGCTGCACTCATCAAGATTGGTTTTCATCAGTCTAAATCCGAACCTTCATTGTTCACAAAAGGAGCTCATGATGATTTTGTTGCTCTATTAATATATGTTGATGATATAATTGTAGCCAGTGCCAACTTATCAGCCATCAATTCAGTCAAGCAATTTCTGGACAACAAATTTAAAATCAAAGATCTAGGACCTCTTGGCTATTTTTTGGGGATTGAAGCTTGCAGATCAAGTGATGGATTAAATCTCTGCCATCGTAAATATGCGCTGGACATTCTGGAAGATGCAGGATTCCTAGATTGCAAGCCGGCAAGCACTCCCATGGCTCAAGGATCAAAACTCTCACATGGTGATGGAATTCCATTAGCTGATCTAAGTTGCTACAGAAGATTGGTTGGCAGAATGCTTTATCTCACAGCCACTCGACCTGACATTACCTATTCCGTTCAACAATTAAGCCAATATGTCGACTCCCCTACAGAGAATCACTTGTTGGCGGCACACCGGGTGTTGCGATATATTAAAAGCTCCCCAGGGCAAGGATTGTTCTATCCAGCTAACACACAACTCAATTTAAAAGTCTTCTCCGACTCAGACTGGGCAGCATGCAACGAAACAAGAAGGTCCATTACTGGATATTGTGTTTTTCTGGGAGAAGCACTGATTTCATGGAAGGCTAAGAAGCAGCTAACAGTTTCGAGGTCTTCATCCGAGGCCGAATATAGAGCCCTGGCAGCTACAGCTTGTGAAGTACAATGGCTAGCTTATCTCCTGCATGATCTGGGCATCACCCTTCACAAACCAGCCACACTGTTTTGCGATAGTAAATCCGCAATTGCTATTGCCGAGAACCACGTGTTCCACGAGCGCACCAAACACATAGACATCGACTGTCATGTTGTTCGAGAGAAATTGAATCAAAAGCTCATCAAGCTGCTGCCAATCTCATCTACAAATCAGGTGGCAGATGGATTTACTAAACCTCTGGCCATTCCTCCATTCTGGCAGTTTGTGTCTAAGCTAGGGATACAAGACTTGTATGCCCCAGCTTACGGGGGGGGGGGGGGGGGGGGGGGGGGCGGTATTAGACAACACAAAGTGATATCAAGAAGGGCTCAACCGTCTTTGTCCATCCCTATCAGTTGCAACGTCCTTTGGCGCCTTTCTTTAGTTGTTGTATATTAGTTCTTCTGAACAAACTTGAGCAGTTAGTCTGTTCATTCCTTCATCTTCTGTAATCTGCTTTCCACCCTTCAATGCAAAGTTTTGTTTTCATCGCATAAGCTCAACTTTCATCAACTAGAGAACCAAGTATCACTATTATTGTTCATGGACCATCAACGTCCAACTTTTAACCAACGACCCCTCAATCACCTCACTTCCCACCAAGAAAAACACCTATCTATCACAAACTCACACCTTAAGTTGCCTTAATGGTATGCAGTTAATTCCCTTTATATAGGTTTGGGGGATGAGTCAAATATGGTGTTTGATTTCTCTTCAAAGGGAGCATTCCTTAAGTTGAATTCCATGAAGGCCGAAACTCAAATAGAGAAGATTACCTGCCACGCTTCACTTTGGTATAATACAATGGAGTCATCTTGGCAAGTTCAACCTGGAAGGTATGAAGTTAGTGAGGTCGAAACCATGGGCATTCGAATGGAGGCCATGTTTCAAAAGCTCTCTTCCACGATAAAGGAGTTATTGTTGCAAAAATCCACCCAAACGTCCACAACTTCACCATGTATATGTCATTGTCCTTGTGTTGCAACTAACAATTGTGGAGGAAATCATGAGGATGCGAAATGTCTTTCTTTTATTGAGCATGATAATGGCTATCAAGAGATTATCAAGGATATGGAGGGAGGTGTGATACCCCAAAATAATTTTTAATGAAATCATCCTTCTATCAAGTTTTTGAAATAAAATTATTATTTACAATTTCCTCCTACGAGTTTTTGCCTCAACATGTATGTACATAGAGTAAATATCCAAAATGGTCCCTCGACTATAGCTAAATTCACAAATTGGTCATCGACTTTTAATTTCAACCAATTAAGTTCTTAACTTTGCAATTTTAACACAATTTGGTCCTTTGTCTGTTTGACCGTTTGTTGACTGCGCTTTTTTAGGATATATATGTAATTTCATGGTCCATCGTCGGTTTTTTAAGGTTCCGGTTGCATTTCTAGACCACACTATTACATTTGAATCCACTG